GCGGTGCGAGGGAGGGGGAGGACTAGCGTAGACTAGCGCGGCCGACGGCTCGGGGCTCGGGCTCCGCTCGGCTCGGCTCCGCTCGGCTCGGTTCCACCCGGCTCGGCTAGTGGCTCGGCGCAACAACGCGTAGCGCGAGGGACGCGACGGCCTCAGCCAGCCGCCCCACGGCCCCGCCTAGCGCAGCTCGCTATACGTTCTCTTTAATATTTCTTAATCGAGAGTTAAAGCAATGACACCTTACATTACTCATGTATAGTTATGTTTAGATATATTTAGGTGTAAGGTTGTAAGGTATCATCTGCTAAAAAGGGTATTATGTTCAAAAAATATGCCTAAGTTATTAAGTTGGAAACATTAAACATTTGACACGTTGTCAGGTTTTGCGAAGCTGGGTAAAAGCTGACTGCCGGCTTCGATGCATTATGGGGATGGCGGTATGAGAAGCTCGGGGAAGAGTGCGCTAGTGAGGGGTGAGATCAAACACTGGGGCGCGCCATTCAATCTACGGTATGTCGGCCGGAATGAAACGGCTCTTGGTTAATGTTGACGCCTCATTTACACCGTTTCTCCTCTTCAGAAATTGCATGCATGTCTATTTTCCCCATTACAATACAAGAACGCCCAAATTTCCATCATTTTGCCGTTCAAACTGACACTTTTTTCATGCCACTGTTCCCCATGTGGGTCATTCTTTCTGGGTGCAACGAATCCTAACGGAGGACCTTATAATTTTTTGACCAAACTGTCCTTCAGATCATTTTAATCAGCATCTAAAACTGGTTTAAAAGCAATTTTGTCCTGGTCAATATCTTTATTTTTTGTATACTTTACGAAGCATTTAAATTGCTAAAGCGCACTAAAATACCCAATATTGAAAAAACTAAACGGGAAATTTCCCAAACTTATCCCAGTGTGTTTTGGGTGTAGTTGGTCATACTAAATGACAATTTTGACAATTTTGAAATCAAGCCCACTGTAAAAAATAACGTAGGCAGTTACGGTTTGCCTACGGTCCGTACCGTATTTTCAGCGTACGGTCAGGCCGTAACAGTACGAAATGTACTTTCTTGTTTGTTCTAAGTACTGTATTCGACTTCCCCAACATTTTTTCAAGTTACGGTCTGTTCTGTATGACACGGACCGTAACCAAAAATTACGGCGCCGGACCAGGCAACAAATTTACAGCGCAGACCGTAGGCGTTTACCGTGTGTTTTTCTAACAGTGCCGTTTTAGGATTCGTTGAACCCACAAAGAATGGCCCATGTATTTCAACGGGGGGAGCTCGCGCGCGAAGCGAGAGTTGATCTTACCGCTCACTAGCGCTCCAAGCGGCCGCAACTCGCAAGCGCCATCCCCATATGTCTAACTCAACTCCCGTCGCTTTGCCCGCAGACACCACCTGCAGCGAGCTGGTGGCGGTGCTGGATGGCGTTCGCTGGCGCTGTGCGGGCTGCGGCTGCGAGGGTGCTATTTCTCCATCAGACGGTGAGGCTTTTCTGGGAGGCATCCTGGATGCGGCGCTCGGCGGTGTGGTCAAGGGTAATCACTTCCTAGCGGACGGCAGGGTCATGCTCGGCGGCACTGCCCTAGATGGTGCGCAGGGTGCCGGCTACTCCTTCATGCTTGAAGAGGTAAGAAAGTGGAGCAGATTCATTGGTAGATAACAAATCTTCGCAGACTAGTTGGGTTTGCACTTTTTAGTATCTGTTTATAAACACAATAGACACGTTTACGTACTTTTTCGCACATATCGTATGTGAGTTAAACATGCTTATTTATGTAAGAAAGCAAGCATAATTATGTACATATACCGGACACCCAAGTGTGTGAATGTCGCACACTTGTAGGTGTGTTAACGTCATTCGTACACATGGCAGCAATGTGTTACTTTCAAAAGAAATTTTTCACCTTGCCCCCTGAAGTGTATGCAGGGTCAGCCATTCGTACACGCAAAAATGTAAGCACCGCACGGTAAACACAGTTTCTTAGACTTCAAGACTTAGTCTTGGATGTTATTGGCGCTCTCCATTAGATCCAAGACCGGGTCTTGTAATACAAAGTAACGTTTTTCTCCGTGCGACATTCACACAATTGCGTTTCCAGTGTTTTCATACAGAAATATGCCTGATTTTGTGGATTATACATCCGTTCGCACCAATCGCTTTATACGATTTGCACAAAAAAGTAAATGAACAGTGTGTATGCATTATTCTACATGTGTAAATATGTACTAGAATGGAGCGATTGTCTCTTTGTTTTGATTTAGATTAGATTTTGTTTTTTTAGGTTTTGATTATTCCTTATTTTGAACCCAGATACATTTCTTTTTTGCAAAGCAATTACGGTTACTTCTAACTAGTAAAATTTATGCTATTGGTTCTACCCAGCTCTTTCAACAGTTGCTGTCAGAGCGGGAAAGCACTATTGCGCAGTGGGAAGAGCTAATTCAAGATGCCCTCCCGCCAAACGGACCCTTGCACCCAACGCACCACTTAGTCCTGCGCGCGAAGCGCCAAATTCTGTGCCCGGACACGGATGGCGTGGAGAGGGATATTGTCAACCTCAAGCTGCGCATACCGAAGACCATGAGTAAGTTCTCGTTAATTTAACATTTAATAATCTACACTGTAGGAGGCTCATTTTGTCCTAGGAGTGTGCTCAAGCGTGGCGTTAACTCTCATAAAAACATCGCTTCGAGAAATTTTGCGTACGCCCCCTTAAAATGAAACGACCTATTGATCACAACAGTTTGCATTATGCGGGCCTCAACTGTGGGTAACCCGACTGATTAATAGGCTGTTGACAAAATCTTGTATTTACGCAATCCCCTAGCGAAAAGAAACGCGGCGATGTGCCACACATGATGTTTCACTGTTCAGTTCATATGCGGTATGTAGCACAAATTTAGGCCAATTTACATCATTGTAATGAAACCGATTTAGAAGAGTGATTGGGGGTTTTTTCCTGACCGGACGCTTTTTTGGGTTTGGTTCAGCCGAGGTGGAAATTTTCAACATTTTCCTAACGTTAAGTCTTTTTTGAACAGAAGACGCACAGACTCTGGCGAAGCACGGTCGCGACCTGCTGGCAGCTGTGGAAGTTCTTCGGCCCGGGATTAATCATTGCAGGGCAGATCTTTTGCGGCAGCTGGTTGTCTTGTCGTTCACACGCATGACCCTGTTCGCAAGTCAATTCAAGCAGAATTTGTGGCGCAGACAGCAGGACGAGTGGAAGGTATGTAAATTGCAGCAATGCCTATATTTTTAAAACATGGTCTGTTAGCTGTAATGTCGAGGCACATTTCTGCCGAAATGACGGCGTCAACCAGTGCTCTAACGTCGCTTGACTGTTTACAAGGGTCCCACTCAGGGCTAATCCTCTCGGATTGAAACCAGAAAATTGTATCCTTGAAACAAGACGAAATGCGTTGGTTCTACGCATCTTTAAACACGCGTGGTGCCGCCTCAAACGTTGCGGCTCAGTTTTTTTTTGGCATTCAAGCCCCTTGTGCAACCCCTTAAAGTTATCGCAGAGCGCGCAAATTTTACACATCGTTATTACTACTCATAGTCGCTGCGCTGTGCATGCATTGAGTTCAGGACGAGCGATTTGAGTCAACCACCTAAGTTATTGAAGATTCACACTCCTATATTGACCTGATATAAGTGTTCAAGGCTGCTATATATTTGCAGGGTGCTGAAGGTCTTTGAGACTAAACGTTCCATATCAAATGTCCAAATACAAGAATTTCATTTTAGCTGTTTGATACTTTACATTGTTCTACTTAGTTTTACACACTTGCAAATGCTTGTTCGTTTAACATTTTGCTGTCCTAATTACTAACTGCTTGTTCCAGGCAATGGTTGAAGAGTTTGCTAAGCAAATGAAAGATTTAAAGACTATTTCAGTAAGCCCTTACGAGAGAGAAATTTATCAGTCGCTGGCAGGGCAGAATTCTTCCCTGCTTCGCTCAAAACTGCATCCAGTATTAAGAAAGGGGGCTCTAGTGTTGGAAACGATTTTTTAATGGTACTCAGGCCAAGATATTTACTTTCATTTCTTCTGATTATTTATTGTGTCTGTTGAAAATGTCACTATTGATGTATTTCAGTACCATCATAAATTGCTAAAATTATTTGATGTATTTTATTTGTTTTGAGAACCTCTACAAATTACCGGCTTAAACCTAGCCAACTATTTTGGTTGGCTTACAAAAACCTGAGTAAAAATTTTGTCCAAAAAAAAAAAAAAAAATTAAACAAAGAAAACATTGACTTTTCGGGGCTGGGTGCTCTATCTGTCGGTAACCAAAATCTGCCGTCAGCCGCTTCCGTCACAATCGGTTCCAAGCTCCTCCGGCAGTTCGGCTCGCCGCAGTCTCTTGTGCGTACCTCCTCATCCGGGAAGACACCCGTGAGGCAGCTGGGGACTTCGGGCCTGCTTGTTTTTTCTGTGCGGCTTTTTCCAATGTGATGTAGGCTCTGGGTCCCACCAGAGGGTTACTCCTCAACTCCGGGCTGAGGGGAGGACAGAGTGAATCAGGGCTGGCACCGCCCGCCCTGGCTGCCTCCTTTTGTTGTCGCTTATTGTCAATCGTCTCAAGGCGGATGACGATGGTTTTGGGGCAGATGGCCGCCACCTGCCCTTCCCTGCTTCTCCTGGCCACGGCGTGGCAGGCCAGGTGGACAGCGAGGTTGTCTTCCTGTTTGAAGGACCGTGCACCTCCAGCGCTCCTCTCGATGATTTGACTGGTGCCGCACTGTAAAAAGATTGTGAAGAACTATTCTTTGCATTGCAAAGAATTTTTAAGCGTTGTAAAATGCTTTGCATTGCGAACTAAATCCTTCGCATTGCGAACTAATTCTTCGAAAAGCGTTCGTAACGCTGCGAAGAATTAGTTCGTAACCTTGCAAACCATTTCTTCGCAACTTACGAAAAAAAATAGTTTGCAATGCAAACTTCTTTACAATCCTGCAAAAGTCTTAGCAAGAATTTGTCAGTGCGCGTGAGCAGCCATCTCGCGGAATAAGACTTCTCCCAGATCCCGCATTGATGCGGTTTGCGCTGCAGGTAGAGAATACGATACGTCGCTAACGACAACAGTTCGAGCAACGTGCCTCTTCACAGCGACGCTCCGTCATAGCGTCACGTCACACTAACAAACACGTGTTCTGTTCACCATAGTTGATGACACATCAGTGCTTTTACCAGAAACATTTCCATACAAAACACCTTATGCCTTGGCTAAGTGCTCAATAAATTGTGCATAATTGTGATTTGGATGCTGGTTTTTATATTTATCACGGAAATAGTCCCTTAGATCACCCTCTGAATTTATTTTAAACAATGATTCTATTTCAAAGCCACATAAATTTTAGGCGTCATAGAAACACTGCTCATCTGTTCGATTGTTTTCAAAGTAGTACCTTTTTAACTTCCCAGTCGTTCATTTAGTGTCTTTTTGCTATCTGAGCTCACCAATGAAAGAAGTTTTGTCTTCTTCTGATGTGGCCGCTGGTTATGTTGATGATTCTGAGCTTGCGTGTCTGTCTCTTGTTGGTTTCCCACTGGGATACGCGGGCTGGCACTGGCTGTTGTTGCCTGCTGAGGTGCAGCAGGCATAGAAAACAATTCTAGGCTCTCTGGAAGTGGAAAGGAAAGGCGTACTCCTGGAGAACGTTGTTCTTCGTAATGAAGAGAACACCGCATTCTGTCGACACAACGTCGCCCAGCAACAAAGGGGCGATGACCAGAGGGATAGTTCGAGCAACGTGCCTATCCACAGCGACGCTCCGTCAGGGTGTGTTAACTTAACATTCACATTTTCGTAACGGTAATTCTGATGATAACAATTTTTTTCGTTAAGCTTTTTTGGTCGTTAATTTTTGAACCCAAAATATTTAACGTTAAATATTTGAACTAAAAGACGCTAGCTGAAAATTAACGTTATTGGATTACCGTTATAGTATTTAACGTTAATGTAAGATAACGAATTAATGTTCTGCTACACATTTACCGTTAATTCGTGTCACCAAATAAAAGTTATCAATAGCGTTATTTCGGTCATCCGACGTGCACTGTTGCCACATCAGTCGGCATGGTTGACAAGAGGCTCACGAGAGAGAAAGAGAGAGAGAGAGA